CCTTCCTTCCTTCCTTCCTTCCTTCCTTCCTTCCTTCCTTCCTTCTTGTGTTTCTTCTTTCCTGTTCCCTTCTTCCTTCCTCTCTTTCTTTTCTCCTTCTACCACTCAACACACTTTATTCACTGAGTACCAACAAAGCTTGGTGTTAGGTACTTGCTAATATACACACACACACACACACACACACACACACACACACACACACACACAGAGGACCTTATTTTTATAGCATTTTATAGTCCATCGAGGATACAAAGTGTTAAAGAAATAATCATAGAAACAACTGCAAATTGTGATAATGGCCTGAGATCAAAAATAAAGTTTGGACAGAAACAAGGATTAATACTGATCTGGAAAGTTGAAGACTGAAGGATGGGTCCCTGTTTGATATGGTTGGAATTAAGTCAGAGGTGGGGGAAGGTGAGGACTGTAAAGGCCCTTGGGGTGGGAAGAGGTTGATTTCTGGTGGTAATTCAAAGAACACCCCCATACACAGCTCACCCTCCTCCCTGTTTTTCTTAAATAGCATTTCAGCATCATAAATTGGAATTCTTTCTTTTCTTTGTTGCCTCTTCGCACAGAATTTAAGCACTGTGAGGGCAGGGATGTTTATCTATGTAGTGTTTGTGTGTTTTATATTTTCATTGCTATATCTCTGGTATCTGGAATAGCACCTGACACATAGTAGGTGCCCAATATTGTTAAAATCCAGTGGGACTAGACCACTGTGAGTACAATGAGCAAGAGAGAGCAGGGAACATTGTCGTTGGAGAAGAGGGTGGAGTCTGGGTTACATGGGGTTGTTTTAGGTCATGCTCTGGATTTAGGATTTTATCCAAAGTGCAGTAGACAACATCTCATGAAATGTGGAATGTGACAAATTTACCATCATCTCTCTTTTTTTTCTAATGGAGAATTAACACAGTTTCTTCTCTTATTAACTCAACTACTGTGATGTTGCACCAAAATATATATGTATTGTTTCAAACACTAGCATCTGCTCTCTTAACACAATGTATTTAGAAAACCAGAGAGAGGGTGTTAGAAAGGTTTTACCGGGAATCTCAACCCATGCTGAAAGAGCTGCAGAGAAGTCAACTTCTGAGGAACATTTTTGCTTCTTCTTCAATGAATGGTAGTGTGTATAGTGTGTGTGTGTGTGTGTGTGTGTGTGTGTGTGTGTGTGTGTGTGTTTAAGGAAAGGCATTCCATTGTAAGCTTTTACCAAACCTTGGCTAGTTTATTGTGTGTTGATATTTTAAATGATTATCTGTATTTAGTTATTTATTTATATGCCTTATATATCACTTGGGTTAATACCCATTAACAAGAAACAACTAATCATATAAAGTAGGCTTTGTCCTTATTTTGCACGTGAATAAATTCACAGTGAGGCAGTGGGAAGGAAACCAGTATCTGAGTGTCTACTATGAATCTGGCACTTTACGGATTTATCTCATTTAATCCTCACAAAGCCCTTTGAGAAAAGGGGGCATGATGAATCCAAGATAGGTTAAGGAAGAACTCCAGTGTCACGGGACAAGTTAAAAGAAGAGTCTGGGTGGTCTTTGCCATTATATTTTACAGCTCCTAGGGAATTTCTAACAACTTGCTAGGATAGCAGTGCTAATAAGGAGTGCAAGTATGTATGAAACCTGAGCCATTTCTGCTGTTTTTCACTCTAAGATAGTACATCAGTTATTGCTTCTAATTAATTCTGCAAGTGCTGAGCCCACTTCATCAGGGCAGGGGCAGTGCAAGTGAGAGAGCCCTCAAAGTAGACCTCAAGTGTGCTGAATGCTTCAGTCCCAGATGCATGGCGTGACCTTTCACCTTCTTGTTCTTACAGCGTCATCTCTTACTCTGTATGTAAAAGGAGGGTCCTGGATGAGGTGTTGTCTGGGGCCCCTTTTATCGCCAATATTTAATGACATTTAAAGTTAACTGCAGGGGCGCCTGGGTGGCTCAGTTGTTAAGCGTCTCCCTTCGGCTCGGGTCATGATCTCAGGGTCCTGGGATCGAGCCCCGCATTGAGCCCCACATCAAGCCCCACATCGAGCTCCCTGCTCAGCGGGGAGCCTGCTTCTCCCTCTCCCACTCCCCCTGCTTGTGTTCCCTCTCTCCGTGTGTCTCGCTCTCTATCAAATAAATAAATAAAACCTTAAAAAATAATAAAAAATAAAGTTAACTGCATTTGATGCACAAAATATACTGAGTCTGGAAAAAGTTGGAGAAACTGGAGTGGCCCGCTCGGTCAGAATTCAGACTCATGTTCTTAACGCTAGGCTCCACTCCAGCCATCATGGGGCTTGATTTCCTCTTGGAAAGCTCTCCAAATCCAGAAGGCTTTCTCGGATACTTGTCAATTAACAGCCTTAAAATGCATGTAAAATGAACTTTTCTCTATCTATTTGCTCCTGTTGATCTTTTTCAGGGGTTAGTACTTCACACAAAGTTTGCTCTGGGAGAAGTAAATCTAAGCTTAATTATTCGACTTATTTTTCCAACATAATAGAAATAAATCAAGAACTTGGTTACTTCGTACCCCTGGCTTCCCCAGTGATTTGGTTGGGCTCTGGAAATTGTGTACTTACAAATATACCTGTCTTAAAAAAAGGAATAATGTTGAGATAATGTTTCTTAAAGGCATTTGTAGCCTTTTTTTTAATCAGCTTAATCATGCTAATTGTTCTTTCTCTGTCTCTAAAGCCTGTTGTTTCATGAACTATTTAGTTAACTTGAGCTTTTTGGTCGAAAACAAATGTATGTTTAAAAAATTTCCCTTTTTGTTAAATAGACTTTTATCTTAATATAGCTTTCTTACTGGAAATTTTAATACATAATAGTTTTTGTCTCCATAGAATCATCTAGATATTATAAAGTTGTCATATTTTCCTGGGCGATGGCTCAGATTTCTCCTATGAGCTAAGAGACAGAATTATTTCCTCATAGCTCAAATGACAACCTTGTGGCATTAGAAGATCTCCATTTAGACTTCTCGGCCCCTTTACAACAATTAAACTTTATTTTGTTTTTTAATGTTATTAACCTCAACAGATATTAAAAAATGCACACACAATGAAAACTTGAGTTATAAGATTTGATATCTTTTGAGGGTGAATTGGAAGTGCAGTTGGTCTAAGAGGAAAAAGCAAACAACCCAAAATTTAGTTACCAAGAAGAACCCAAAGGTAAGGAAGACTGAAGGCAAGGCACAGGCCTCAGCAAACTCTTGACTTAGGCTTTGACCCTTTAAATGGTGCCATCAGAAAAAGTGTTATTCTTCCCATTTCTCTAATTCCCCACAGTAGTGGAAGGGGGGTTATTCCACTTAATTTTGCAAAATTAAATTACATTAGAAGAGGCTTATTTAAAATAGAGATAAGCATCTTATTATCTTTTGCGTAGAAAGGCAGATTTTTAGTAGACTGTTCACTTGTTTAATTGGCTTCTTTAGTCATATTTTTTAATCAGCCTTGTATGCTGGGGGCATATATGTGATCACGATGATAGTTAATCATTTTCAGGAAAAATTTCAAGAGGTACTGAATTCTTTCATCAGATAATCTTTCTGAGGGAGGTAATCACATTCCTCTTTCCTATAAAACTTTTTTTTAATATGATAACAGAACTGGGATCAGAATTTATTAGGTTGGTGGGATCCGATAATTGTGATTACTGATTAATTCATTAATTTTTGTTAACAGTAACCTTTCTGGTGGTCTTGGTTTCTTTTTTTTTTTTTTTTTTTTTGAGGAATAAACAGTCAATTTTATTGGGCTCAGACCAGGAGTCCATGGGTCTTGAGGACCTCTGTGTATTTATCGATTTTCTTCTCCACATTCTTTTCGGCCTGTTTCCGTAGCCTCATGAGCTGCTTCTTCTTCCGGTAATGGGTTTTGGCCTTCTCCTTTCTCTTCTCCAGGGTGGCTGTTACTGCCTGGTACTTCCAACCAACCTCCTGAGCCAGGCGCCCCAGGTAGGCAAACTTCCGTGTAGGCTTCAGGCGCACCACCTTGAGGGCAGCAGGAACCACCATCCGTTTTTTCTTGTCGTAGGGCGGCGGGATCCCGTCAAACACCTTGAGGCGCTCCAGGGCAGCCTGGCCTCGCTTGGTCTTGTGTGGCAGCATGCCTCGCACTGTCCGCCAAAAGATGCGGCTGGGTGCTCGGAAGTGGTAGGGGCCACGGGATGGGTTGGTGTTCATGCGCTTGCGGAGGAAGGCCAGGTACTTCAACTTGTTTCTGTAGAAATTGCCAGAAATGTTGATGCCCTCACAGCGCACGACTACAACCTTCCGGCCCAGAAGCACCTGTTTGGCCATGATGGCCGCCAGGCGGCCCAGGAGATGGCCTCGGCCATCAAGCACCAGGACCTGCCCCTCCGCCATCTTCGGCAGCCGCCTGAGAAAGGAGCTGGTGGTCTTGGTTTCTTGAAAAAAAATTCTATCACAGAAGATATAAAGCTCATTCTGGTTAATCACCTCACTTATCAAATATCAAAGAGGAGACTAGCAATATAAATACTAAATATGGGGAATTTTTAATGAAATATCAATACTAATATCAAAATTATAAATATAATTTTGTATATAATTTTATATAAATATAAAATATCAAAATTAATAAAGACTGAGAGAAGCCAGTTCTTCTACTTGAATTCAGTGTGATTTTTTTTTCTTTTATCAATAGAATTTGTTTTTGTTTAGAGCCAAAGGAGTTCCCAGGACAACTGGCTTTTGAAATAAAGCAGCAAATGTGCTAAAAAAGAAAGCTATCCAAAAATGCATATCATTCTTTACTGTGTCCTAGCCCATTCCCTCCTTTGACTTGTTCTCACCTTGGGTTCTGTCTGTACTAATTCCAAGCCCCTTTTCTTCATAAATCCATTGAGTGTCTCTATCTCCTGGCATATACCGTTTTAGTTGGAGGAGCTGAGGCATTTCACTGGGGGAGCAAAGGTATTGAGTCGAGACACCATCAGGGTGAACACACGGTATGGGGATCAAACATGGATCTAGCTATAGTCCAGCAGTTGTTTTGAAGAAATTGCAGTACCAGAGTTTGCCACTAGCTTGCTATGGTGTTAGACAAATCCTTTCACAACTGGGGCCATTGGTTCTTTCATCTTCATAATGAAGGGTTTGGACCAATATTATCTAATGCTTTTTTTTTTTTCTAATATTCTTTCTAAACAGAACAATCTCAGTTTCTACTTAATCCTTTTCTTTTTGTCATCTTGTCTGTGAACACTGGGGGGGGTTCCCCTGAATGGAACTGAGAGGGCCAATTTTGTTCTAGCCTTGAGTCTTATCACTGAAAGACACCTTAATCTTGCTAAAACACTTTTGCTTAATAGGTGAGTAAACCGATGACTGGTAGAATTAAAGGAGATAGTGACCAGGGTTAAAAACTAGAGGCATGTTGTATAAATTCTCTACTGCTATGAAACAAACTATCCCCAAACTTAGTGCCTCTTGAAACATTACAAATTGGGACGCCTGGGTGGCTCAGTCAGTTAGGTGTCTGCCTTTGGCTCGGGTCATGATCCCAGGGTCCTGGGATCGAGTCCCGTGTCAGGCTCCTTGCTCAGCAGGGGGAGCCTGCTTCTCCCTCTGCCTGCCACTTCCCCTGTTTGTGCTCTCGCTCTGACAAATAAAAAAAAACAAAAAAAAAAAGAGAAGAGACATAAAAATGTATTGTTTCCTGCAATGCTGTTGGGTTGGTTTTCTTTCTTTTTTTAAGATTTTTTAAAAAGTGTATTTATTTATTTAAGTAATATCCAACGTGGAGCTCAAACTCACAACCCTGAGATCAAGAATCACATGCTCCTCTGACTGAGCCAGCCAGGCGCCACTGGGCTGGTTTTCTTAAGAGCAGGTTCAGAACAGAGTTCTAAGAAGGTGAAATTTAGGTTCTGGAGTTTGCATGGTGTCACAGCTCCTATATCCTACTGATCGTAGTAAGTCCAAGGACAGCCCACATTCAAAGGTTGGGGAAATAAGAACCCGTTTCTTGGTGGGTGGAGTGGCAAAGAATTTGTGGCCTTATTTAATTTACCACACATAGACTATTACTCCTTCCTCCAAAACCCTTGCCCCATGATTGGTTAAGGCACTTTTTTGGCCAAGTCATTATGCAGCCTTAAAATCCTTTTTAACACAGTGCTCCAGGCAACCACCACAAATCAATCAGAACTGCCACAAGAAATGAAATTTATCTGTCATCTGGACTCTGTAGTGCGTTGTTGATGGAGCCCTTAATGGAAAATTCAGAATTCTTGGCTCTCAGTTTAAGTTCTTTTCTTTCCCCATCACTCTTTCTCCTCCCTTCTGGTAAGTTCTTTAACATTCTCCAGGTTATGTTAGAAAAGTCACTTATTTCTATCACTAAAGTTTCTAAAAATAGACATCCTTGAGATTTGTAACAATATCATCATGGATTATGTGTTTTCTTGGTAGATTATGACATAAACCCTAAGTTTAAGTGTTATCAATTTGGATGCTGCCGTAACCAATGATAAAACTTGGATCAATCCACATGATCACATTTGGATCAATAATGTAACAGTGAAATATTATGGGGGTCTTGATGTGATGCAGTGAGGATATAACATCTCCCATGTAGCATTCTCATGGAAGCTAATGATTAAGAGACAATCAGATAGGGGCTCCTGGAAGGCTCAGTCGGTTAGGCATCTGCCTTCAGCTCAGGTCATGATCATGATCCCAGGATCCTGGGATCCAGCCCCGTGTCAGGCTCCCTGCTCAGTGGGGAGTCGGCTTCTCCCTCTCCCGCTGCCCCTCCCCCTGCTCCTGCTCTCTCTCATGCACGCTCTCTCTCTTTCTCAAATAAATAAGTAAAATCTTTGAAAAAAAAGAGAGACAATCAGACAAATATAGAACATAAGATATTTCACAAAGGAGCTAATCTGAAATCTTAAAACGCTGTGAATTTCATGAAAGACACACATATACATATATGTATATGACTAAAAAAATTAGCAAAATGCAGTTCATGATTCTGTATTGAATTTTGGATTTTAAAGTTATAAAGTACCTTACTGGGACAATTGGGGACTATATATTAGGTAGTATTATTGTATTAATGTTAAATATTTTATATGTGATAGATACTTTGGCAGTTATGGAGGGGAATGTCCTTATTCCTAGAGGAAAAAAGAGATGTATTTAGAAGGAAAGAGTCAAGATATTTGTTAACTTATTTTCAAATGGATCAGCAAAAAATGAACATAATATATATACACATATATATATACATGTATGTGCACAGTGTATGTGTATATATACAAATACGTGTATATTTTCATTTAACACTAGAAAGAAAAAGAGAAAGCATTAGCAAATCTAAGTGATAGGTCTATACATCTTCATTATACTTTTAATTATTTTGAAGGTTAGGGGCACCTGGGTGGCTCAGTCATTCGAGTGACCTTCTTTTGGTTTCAGCTCAGGTCATGATCTCATGGGTGTTAAGATCAAGCTCAGCATTGGGCTCAACGCGGAGTCTGCTTGCAGATTCTCTCCCTCTGCCCCTCCACCCATGCTCACTCCTGCACTGGCTCTCTCTCTCTCAAATAAATAAATCTTTAAGTTTTTTGAAGGTTAGACAAATTTCAAATTAAAAAGTTGGGGAAGGGGCGCCTGGGTGGCTCAGATGGTTGGGCGTCTGCCTTCGGCTCAGGTCATGATCCCAGAGTCCTGGGATCGAGTCCCGCATCGGGCTCCCTGCTCCTTGGGAGCCTGCTTCTCCCTCTGCTTCTCTCTCTCTCTCTCTCCCTCTGTCTCTCATGAATAAACAAATAAAATCTTTAAAAAAAAAAAAAAGTTGGGGAAAAAGTTACCAACTTGTATTTTGTGGTTGAGACCATGCCTGACTTTAAGCTATTATGATAAAGTATCCAATGCCAGATATGTGATTAATTTCTAAGGAATTCAATTGCAGAATGCTGCATTTCTAAAAAGGCACATTTTCTTTACTTATAGACATACACAAGGAGAAAAATCTCAAGTACAGGCATTTGTTTGAATATGGTAACTGATAGAAAAGTTGACCAAGTAGAAAACTATAATATGTCATAATAAAAGATGTTGAGATTTGCCTCTATGTTATGTGGGCATTATGGGTCACAAAGTTAAATATTATGCCAGAAGCTCTTGATGACAAGGGTTTCATTTCTTTCTGCTCAGATTCTGTGGATGACTTTGAGCAAGTCATTTTAACTTGTGTGGAGATGGGTCCGCCTATAAAATGGGGAAACTAATTCTGGTTTACATCATAGAGCTTGTGTAAGGATTAAGCATCTTACGGCAAAGTTTGGTAAACAGCTTTTCCCATCCAAATGTTCAGCCTTGGAAACACTGAGAGGATTGTCATGCTGAGGAGCTAAGGTAATGTTTATTGATTCTGCCCTTGTTTAGAGATTGTTCTTATAGGATCCTGTACAAGGTTTTATCCCTTATAAGTTATAATACTAAGAAAAATCTACTTGTATTTTGACAAATCTGTTTTCCTGCACAACTCTTAATTTTCTTCTGAAACAAGATTGGATTTGGAGGAGATTTAGTTAGAAAAGGTAACCCTGACTTTGTCATCTGTGAAAGGAATGTGGCAACTCTATGTGCTCTCGAAATGTAGGTGGTTGAGAGCATGTGAAATAATTAGCTGCCCTAACCTGTGTTTCATAATTGATAAAAATACAGCCCTTTTGAAAGAAGGCTGAGTTTTCTGGGGACTCAGAGTAGAAAAGGTGAGCCATGATCTGGGTGTAACAGGATTGGGAAGGCATTGGGCAGATGAAGGAGACCTGGGAAAAGTCCTGAATGTGCATTCATTACGTGCACAGACCTATGCAGGAACAACTCTCGGGTGCTGATACTAGGGAGATATAATGGAGGAAACTGATCCACCCTGTTGGCTAGGTGCATTGAAAGGATTGCAAAACTCATTGGTGTTAACCTGTGGTAGGCAGCAAGGAGACCCCAGTGGTTGCTGAATAGAGGATTGACGGGGTGATTACATTGGAAACTAAGTAATGCATGGTAGCATTATGTAGGAAAAGACCAGCAAGGAACTTTCCCTTGGGAATTGTGGATGGAGATGAGTGTTCAGCTCTGAAATACAGGTTCTAGCCAAGTGCCATTAGGAGAGAGTGTGAGAGGAGGAAGTTTCCACAGAATGAGGAGGTAACAAGAGCTGTGCTTGATTAGTGATGTCTGCTGAGGGCAAGGGTGGGACCATAAAAGTGCATATGGTCATGTATTTGCCATTCCTTAACTAGAGAGAAGTAAACCCAAAATTCCAACCTATGTGATGAGAAAAAGAACTGGGAACTGGTTTGGGAGAAAGTTGATGGTCTAGTTTCAGTCACACTTCAATTTGTGGAC